TTAAACAAGTCTTTTTGTACCTTTTAGCCACCAAAGATGAAGGACTAACATACTGGCGCCCCGAACCAAGACTGGACCTACCAGACGAACCAGAGCCAACTCCGTACACTAACACTGCAATCCTATCCAAATTCTACCAGACAACGGACCCACTACAGATACATGGATCCTGTGATACGACATGGGCCTCTGACAGATTACAGAGGAGATCTATGGGTGGGGTTATAATGATGTTAGCAGGAGCAGCAGTGTACTATCGAACACGCCTTCAACCAACTATAGCACAAAGCTCCACGGAAGCAGAATTCACCAACATGGCTGATGCTGGAAAAGCAGCATTATACCTCAGATGGATACTAGAGGAACTGAAACTTCCACAAACTGAATCCACTCCTATTATAGCTGATAACCATGGTGCCGTAAGAATGGCCAATGCACACCAACCAACCCGGAGAACGCGCCATGTAGAGATGAAACACTTTGTTATCCTCCAATGGACTGATGATGAACATATCAACTTTATTGAAACAAGATCTGATGAAAACTACAGCGACTCACTGAGCAAACCGACCGGTAGGACAAAATTCTATGAACACACAGATATCTTCATGGGACGTCTAAAACCGTACTATGTGGACACTTCTCTATCACACACCCAACTATCCCCTATTATTGAGGATAAAGCAACAATACACACGAAAATAAAAAAATTTTGCTCCACTTGCAATCTCGATCCTCTTCAAAATCTACTGATTAGTGATTTTGAATCGAATGAGTCTCTCGATTCTGCAAGTGCGGGGTGGTGTGAGACTATACCACGTAGTAAATCACGAGTGAATAGTGAGTGACAGCAAACAGCGCATACACTCAACACTCAACACTCAACTCACTCTTTATTGTAAACACGTAGTTATACCACACTAAAGAGCATGTACACATTCGCAAGACGCAGCTCGTACAATGTCATCATGAATCTTTTTGTCTTCGATATGATCGAACGCTACGCCATTCCGTAACCAGTACGTAAATGTAGTACTGGCCTACGGGGACCACAATCTTCCCTGTCATCATATTCCGTTCCATGATCACGATATT